CTCGAAACCGGATAATTTTCACTTTTTCAGAACCCTAGTACTCTCACGAGTCTAAGAATATAAAAATCTCCCAAATCGGAGGTCAAACACCCACCCAAAACTCAATAGTTTGGTCTATGAAGTTTTTCCCCATTTTTCATTCAAAAATCCGAAATTAAGGATGAATTCGTGATTAGATTAGTGAGTTTTAAGCATAAGAGAGTAGAGAATCGTTACCCAGTAGTTGCCCTCGAAAAACCTTCGAAATTTCCCCCAAATTCGAGCTCCCAAGCTTGTATTTTGATAAAAATGGCTAACCCTCGGTTTTGATGTGTTTATAACTGCCCAGTCATTTAATGCATCGTGAACTCGGAAGTAGGCTCGCATTCTCGAAGAAGAAAAAGTGAAGGCTGTTAAATTGCCCTTCGCGAATGCGTGGAATGGTACGTGAACGCGAAGGCCTGGACTGGCAGTGCTACGCGAACGCGACAAGAGTCACGCGAACGCGATGAAGAAATTTGTCCTCCTCCCAGATTACACTACGCGAACGCGTGGAGGAGGACGCGAACGCGAAGAAGAATAAGGTCAGAGCTACGCGAACGCGATAGGAGCGTCGCGAATGCGAAGAAGGAATTCGACCTGCAACTGCTGAAGGATTTTCTGCAACTTTTCACAACTCCAAAATGCTCCGTTGAGCACCCGAAACACACCCGAGGCCCCCGGGACCTCAACCAAACCTATGGACATATCCCATAACATCATTTAAACTTGTACCAACCGTTAAACCACCTAAAACAACGTCGGAAACTCGAATTTAACCAATGATTTAAGCCTAAGAACTTCCGGAATTCCATTCCGACCCTCGGATCAAAATCTCACTATCGGACCGAAACTTCAAAAAGTCAAACTTCGGCATTTCAAGCCTAAATTAGCTGCGGACCTCCAAAACACATTCTGAACACGCTCCCAACCCCAAAATCACCTAAAAGAGCTAACGGAACCATCGAATTTCCATTCCGAGGCCGTCTTCACACTGTTCCAACTACGGACAACTTTCCAACACTTAAGCTCTCATTTAAGGACTAAGTGTCCCAAAACTCTCTGAAACCCAACACCGAACATCCCGGCAAACAAAAATAGCATAAATTAACTTAGGGGAAGCAGTTAATAGGGGATCGGGGCATTAATTCTTAAGACGACCGGCCGGGTTGTCACAATTAACTACTTGGGAGGAGATTTTGTCGCTTTCATTGCTTGAGGACAAGCAATAGTTTAAGTTTGGGGGTTTGATAAGTTGGTATTTTACCAACTTATCTTGTCTTTAAACCTATACTTTTGCTATGTTTTAGTGATAAAATCATGTATTTAATGTCATTTACTTCTATTTTACGGGTTGTACGTGATTTAGAGGTAATGGTGAAGAAACCAAGCAAAAAACAAGTCAAAAAAGAGCTAAAATGGACAATGAGAAACTGCACAGTGGTTTACTCTTCGCGAACGCGAAGGTGCTACGCGAACACGAAGAAGCAGGCAGCTAGACCTTCGCGAACGCGATGTAGCAGAACATGAACCTTCGGGAACGCGAAGCTATGAACGCGAACGCGACGATTGAGGAAAGTAGGCCTTCGCGTCGCAAACGCGATGAAGAAACTGGGCGTGAAAATTGGGCAGTTCTGGAATTTCACATATTTGACCCCAAACCCTTTAATACCCGAATCAGCTCATTTNCCCCAAACCCTGTAATACCCAAACCAGCTCATTTGTAAACGATCTTTGGCAATCTCTGGACATTTTTGGCTTATTTTCAGTTCCTAGAACTAGAGAGAACAAGTATTGAAGCTAGGGTTTTTCACACACACTTGGGTTTTGAAGATTTCAAGCTTGTGGTTAAGATTTTCTTACCCATTTATGTTTATTTCTTCATTTCCTTGCTTTCTATTGTATATCTAAGTGTGTAGTATTTTATCCAACACTTGAATCTTGTTTATGGAAATATTCATGTTTAAAGTGTGGATTAAATACCTTGTTGTGCTTATGTATTGAATGATTTTTATCCTTTTATGAAGTAAGTTATTGTTACTTTAATTATTCTTGTTCTTTAATGTTTCCAAAGGGATTAGCTAACCTTAGGACTCGCCCATTAACTCCAAATTAATTTTGGAAAAGAGAATTTGGGGTTGGGAAAGATTAATTAACAAGAACTTGAGGCGTTAACCCTCATTTTATAGATTCTACCTAGGGATAGGATTGAACTACTTGTAGCCATATTCGGGAGTACTTAATCTCTTAATTGTTTTAGGGATAATTCAATTAGGAAGTCTTTTTAGTCTTCGGAAGAAGCTAATTAAGAATTATTACCCGTAGCTAATTAACATAAACTCGCTCATATTTGTAAAATCATGAAATACATTGGATCGTTACTTGAGTGCAATTCCCGATGCAACCATACTTGTAGTCATTGATCATTTTTCTTGCTTTCTAGGTTAGTTTACATTTTCTCATTTAGGTATAAACACTTTTAAAACCAAATTCTTAGTGTTTGGCATTGCGCGATAAGTGATAATTTTCTTACATTCCTAATCGCCTACATATTATTCTCTGTGGGACTTGACCCCGACTCATAGTTGGGTAAATTATATTGCATGCGACCGTGTCCATTTACTTTTTAGTAGTGGATTTGGACGTCATCACGCGGTAATGGATGCATCTATGGTTCACGCCATTCGACCCTCTGGCAGTGCACAGTTTAAATATTGTTGAATCGGGCCTTACGACCTCGGCATGACTTGCGCATGCTTGTATTGCTTGCCTTGAAATTCATAGATGTTGATATTTGTTTTCCCTGGCTTGAGATAAATGTATAAATGATGAAAATGAATTTGGGAATTTCTTATAAACGAAAGGATTGTTACTTGCTTCATGCTAATGAGTTACAACCAAGTTTTATGAAAATCCTCGCTTTACTATATTATTGGTATATTATTATTTGACCACTAGTAAGTATCGAAGTCGACCTCTCGTCTCTACTTCTTCGAGATTAGACGGGATACTTACTGAGTACACGTTGTTTTTGTACTCATGCTACACTTGTGCATTTTTGTTGCACGGGCACATGTACCTCTAGTGGACTAATGGGCGTAGCAGCATGGATGATACGGAGACTTAGGTGAGCTGCATTCCTCGAGGCGACCCGCAGCCAGCATAGTCTCTTTCAGTGTATTGTATTTACTTTCTGTCCAAATTTCTATTCCAGACAGTTATTGTACTTTATTTGATTTCCTAGTGATTGCTCATGTACTTGTGACACGGGGTTCTTGGATGATTATGGGATTATTTAATATTAAGTTTGTTAAAAACATCAATATTTATTCAGTGAAATTCATTACTTATTGTTTAATGTATAGAGGAAATGATTTTAAAAAAATTTTAAAACAAGAAATTACTAGTTAATTAGTGTTGGCTTGCCTGACAATGGTGTCCGGCGCCATCACGACCTGTAATAGATTTTGGATCGTGACAGCTGTCTTGAGCTTTTGAAAGCTCGCCTCACAATCATCGGACCAACGGAAAGGAGCACCCTTTTGGTCAATCTAGTCAGAGGTGCTGCAATGGATGAAAAGCCCTGCACAAATCGGCGATAATAACCTGCTAACCCCAGGAAACTCCACATCTCAGTCACTAAAGTGGTACGTGGCCAACTCTGAACTGCCTCAATCTTCTTGGGATCCACCTTAATACCCTCTCCTGATACAACATGCCCCAAGAATGGTACTGACTTTAGCCAAAACTCACACCTGGAGAACTTAGCATATAGCTTCTGCTCTCGCAATGTCTGAAGCACTACTCTCAAATTCTGCTCGTGCTCCCCCAGGCTACGTGAGATCAAGATATCATCAATGAAGACAATAACAAAGGAATCAGCATAAGGCTTGAAACCCTGTTCATCAAGTCCATAAACGCTGCTGGGTCATTAATAAAGCCGAAGGACATTATCAGAAACTCATAATGGCCATATCTAGTACGGAAAGCAGTCTTCGGGACATCTGCGTCCTGAATCTTCAGCTGATGATACCTTGATCTCAAGTCGATCTTAGAGAACGCCCTAGCACCCTGCAACTGGTTAAACAGATCATCAATGTGCGGCAACGGGTACTTGTTCTTGATGGTAACCTTATTCAACTGGCGGTAATCAATGCACATCCGCATAGTCCCATCCTTCTTCTTCACAAACAACACTGATGCACCCCAAGGCGACACACTTGGTCTCACAAACCCCTTTGCTAAGAACTCCTCAAGCTACTCCTTCAACTCTTTCGGAGCCATACGGTACGGTGGAATAGATATAGGCTGGGTACCTAGAGCCAAATCAATACAGAAATCAATATCACGATCCGGTGGCATGCCTGGAAGGTCAGAAGGAAACATATCGGCGAACTCCCGAACTACTAGAACTGAATCAATCGTTAGAGACTCTGCAGTGGTGTCCCAAACATAAGCTAGATAAGCCAAACAACCCTTCTTGACCATATGTCGAGCCTTCGGAAAAGAAATAACCCGACTAGATATACTAACTGAGGAACCCTTCCACTCCAACCTCGGCAACTCTGGCATCGCTAAAGTAGCTGTCTTTGTATGGAAATCTAGGACGGCGTGATATGGGGATAACTAGTCGATGCCCAAGATGACCTCAAAGTCGGTCATATCAAGTAACAGAAGATCCGCTCTAGTCTCAAAACCACAGAATGTAACCACACAGGACCGATAGATCCGATTCACAACCACAGAATCGCCCACAGGAGTGGACACATGAACAGGAGTACCCAAAGACTCACAAGGAATGTCCAGGAAATGAGCAAACGGAGATGATACATATGAATAGGTAGACCCTGGATCAAATAGTACTGAAGCATCCCTACCGCTGACGGAAACAATACCTATGATAACGGTATCTGAGGCCAATGCATCTGGTCTGGCCGGAAAAGCATAGAATCTGGCTGGAGCGCCGGCTGGCTGGCCTCCACCTGACTGAACAGTAGATGGCTGACCTCCCCCTTCCTGGCCTCTACCTCTAGGATAGCCTCTACCAGTCTGCCCTCCGCCTCTGGGTAGCCAAACAGCCGGTGCTGTAAACATAGGCTGCTGACCCTGCTGCACTGCCTTGCCTCGAAGTCTGGGGCAGTATCTCCTCATAAGACCGAGATCTCTGCACTCGAAATAGCCCCTCGGTGCGGTGACCTTCTGCCCTGATGTCTGACCCTGATAGCCTGTAGACCCATTGGAAGAAGCCTGAATAGCCGGTGGGCGGTATGAACTCTCTGGTATAGCACTAAAATAGGAGTTGGAAGAACCCTGGGGACCTGAGTACCCACCGGAAGAACCCTGGATGGCTGGTGGGTGATAAGAACTCTCTGGTATGGTGCTGAAATAGGGGCGCACTGGAGCAGCTCGAGGAGGTGGTGGAGCTGAATATGGAGGCCTGCTAGGCTGACCCCTCCCAAACTGACCTCTGCTCCTAGCCGGGGCACCTCTAAAATCTTCGGAGAAACGGCCCTCTTGTCCTGCTGCATCTGCTCTCTACCCCTTTGACGATAGCCCTCAATCCTCCGAGCAATCTCCAGTACCAGCTGATAAGAAGTCCCCATCTCAACCTCTCGGGCCATGTTGGCCCTGATACCGGAGTGCAACCCCGCAACAAATCTCCGCACTCTCTTTGCGTCTGTAGGAAGTATCATGAGTGCATGGTTAGATAACTCAAAAAAACCTCACCTCATAGTACTCAAACTGATAGTGCAACTCTTCCCTCTCAGAGGGTGGAATATACCTATCCAAAAAGAGCTGTGTGAATTGGCCCCAGGTGATGGGAGGGGAACCCGCTGGTCTGCAAAGAACATAAGACTGCCACCATCTACGGGCCCTACCCTCTAGCGGAAAAGTAGTGAAGTCAACCCCATGAGACTCCAATATCCTCATGTTGTGCAATCTATCCCTGCACCTATCATTGAAATCCTGGGCATCCTCATGACGCTCACCTCCGAAGATAGGAGGGTGTAGCCTGGTCACCTATCCAATAACTTCTGCGGATCGCCGTCCACAGCTGGTCTGGGCTCAGGTGCCACTCCTGTAATTGGCTGGGCCCCATCCCCGGGTAGTGTGCCTGGAGTCTGATACACTGCGGCTGCATGCCTAGGAGCATGAGCAGTAGGGGTCTGTACTCCCCCTGCCGCTTGAGATGTGGCTGGGTCTATTGGAAAAAACCAGCCAGGGTCATAGAATCCATGAATCGGAGCATACGACCCATGAACTCCTGAAAGCCCGGTGCTGTCATGAAATTCGCTGGGGTAGGCTCTGCTGCGGGCATCTCACCCTGCTCCTTAATAATGGGATCCCCCGCTGGATCCGCCGGTGGTGCAACTGGGGCAGCTCTGGGATGCCCTCGTCCCCTACCTCGGGCAGGTGCCCTCCCCCGGCCTCTGCCTCGGCCTCTAGCAACGGGGGGAGCAGCTCCTCCCGGGTTTGGAATGTTTGTCGTGCGCGTCCTCACCATCTGTGAGAGAATAGAAGAAGGAAATTTAGTATACCATCAACTGCACGATAGAAGATGAATAAAAGTAGTTTCGTAACATCCTATAGCCTCTCGAAGATAAGTACAGACGTCTCCGTACCGGTCCGTGAGACTCTATTAGGTTTGCCCATGACTTGTGAGACCTACATGAACCTAGTGCTCTGATACCATGTTGTCACAACCCAAATTCCATTATAGGTCGTGATGGCGCCCAACGCCGCTGTCAGGCCAGCCAACACCGATCAACTAGTGAGTTCTCATTTATTTATTTTATTAAACAATCCCAACATTTACTTAACTTAAATTTAAAACAGTCGATAAATAACGAATTTATAAAGCAACTGAAATGGGAATGACTAAAGGAAATCATAGTTATAGGAATACAACCCAAAAATAATTGTCTACTAATGTGTGTGCCAGGATCTAGTGTCACAAGTACGAGGGCAACTAGTAGAATGTACAAAAATATAACTATCCTATTGCCTTAAATAGAATAGACAGTAATAACAGAAGGAGAGACCCCGACATGCTGCTGAACGACTCAGAAGGGGGCAGCTCATCGTGAAATCTCGATCAAGTATCAGGAATGCGCGTCGGACGGGTAGCTAGATGCACCTACCTCAGATCCTGTACAATTAAGTACAGAAGCGTAGTATGAGTACATACACAATATGTACCCAGTAAGTATCCAGTCTAACCTCGAAGAAGTAGTGACGAGGGTTCGACTTGACACTCACTAGGGCCAACAATATTATAATTTACGTGTTACGCTAAGCATGAATAACATGAATAATAATGACAGTTTAAGAACAGGGAGAAGTAACATATTCTTTCATAAACAACATGTCAATTTCAGTCATATCATGTAACAACTTACGTTTCAAAGCATTTAAGCAGTATAAATTATGAGAAGTTCCAAATAAATAACATGCCCAGATTATGCCGAGGTCGTACAGCCCGGTCCAATATAATATTAAGTTGTGCACTGCCAGAGGGTCGAATGGCGCGAACCATAGATGCATCTATTTACTACAGAGGTGCTCGGCCTTATCCACAAATAACAATTTATTTTCAAGAAAGCACACATTGCCCATTTACAGTCAAGTAATTCACATAAATTCTTAAGTAAGTGAGTATAACCGTCTATATTTGTTTTACCAATTTCCAGCATGACTTAAGTGATTATAGTATCAAGTAAGGACGCAAGCATTGCAGGTATAGCATGATACGGTCCTAAACTACCCAGACAATAAGCATAATAGTAGCTACGTACGGAATCTTGTCACCACGTACGTACGTAGCCCCCACAGATAGGTACATACAACAACAAAAACAAACTCAGTTTAATCCCAACATGTGGGGTCTGGGGAGGGTAGTCTGTACGCAGACCTTACCCTACCTAGTGCAGGAAGAGAGGTTGTTTCCAATAGACCCTCAGCTAAAAAATAAAAAAATAAAATGAAATAAATAAATAAATACCAATAAAAATCACATACCGTAATACAGGATATATAGTATCCAATAATAGCAACAGGGAATACAATACCTTAGGCGAACAAAACTACATACCGTAATAAAATCTAAGAAACGAAAGGAAATGCATGCTACTAAGCCTATCGGTGAACACTATAAACTACAGATAGGTACATACATTTATTTAATTCACCTATGGGGTTAATTCCCTCTTACAAGGTTAGAAAAGAGACTTACCTTGCCCCAAAGCTTACTTCCAAACTCAAGAATGCGCTCAAACCCTCAAATTGGAGCCGAACGATCCAAAACTATTCAAATGGGGTAAGAACTAGTCAATATATGCTCAAGAGTTCATATTCTAACTAAGTAATTTCCCAACCCTAAATGCAAGGTTCCTAAAATTCATCCCCGGGCCCACGTGTTCAGATCTCGATAATTTTTGAAGAGAGTTGTTACCCATAACCTTAGGATCAAGAATATATGATTTCTACTACATTTCATAACAAATTTCGTGGTTAAATCTCATTTTTATAAAAAAAAACCCTAGGTTTTACTCTAAACCCATAATTTTCACTAATTTACATGTTGTAATCCACCCATAAACTATGTATTAAACTCACATTAAGTAGAAATTACGTACCTCGCAAAGCTAGGTTGAAATATCCCCTTTTGAGGCTCCCAAATCGCCCAAGAATGGAGTGAAATGAGTCAAAAATGATAAACTCCCGTATTAAATGAAGGCCACTGCCTTCAGCGATCGCACCTGCGGTGCATCTACTGCATCTACGGTCTTGCTTCTGCGGGCGATTGTCTGCTTCTGCGGAAATGGGCCGGGCCAGCTGGGGCCGCACCTGCGGACGGGTGACCGCTCCTGCGGTTCCGCTTCTGAGGAAGAGGAGCCGCATCTGCGGAACCTGGGCTCCTCCCCTTGTGCCGCATCTGCGGGCTCGCACCTGCGGCTGCCCAACCGTAAGTGCGGTTATGATAGCAACTGGAGCTTCAGCTCCTTCTCAAATTTTCAACTTAGCTCGAGCCTCGTCCGATTGACGCTTGGGTCTCCCGAGGCCCCCCTCGAACATACCGACAAGTTTGGAATCATAGAACGAACTCGCTCGAACCCTCAGAACACCTGAAACATCACTAAAACTAAGAATCACACCCTAAAACCAATTGAATTAAACTTATGAACTTCAATTTCTTCAATCTACTTCCAATGTGCCGAAACGTACTTATACTACTCGGAATGATACCAATTTTGTGTGGAAGTCTTAAATGACATTGTGGAACTATTCCCGATCTCGGAATTCCGTTCGAACCTCGATATCACAAAAACCCATTCTAAACCAAATTTAAAGAACATGAAAATCATTAAAGAATCAACTTCCACTATTAGACGCCAAAACGCTCCCGGTCATCCAAAACCCGATCCGGATATACGCCCAAGTCCGAAATCATCATACGAACCTGTTGGAACCTTCAAATCCTGATTTCGAGGTCGTTTACTCAAAATGTTGACCGAAGTCAAACTTGACCTTTTAAGCCAACCTTAAGGAACCAAGTGTTCTGATTTCAACTAAAACTCTTCCAAATCCCGAACCAACCATCCCCGCAAGTCATAAATCAGTAAAACAAAGTACGGGAAGTCTTATTTAGGGTAATAGGGTTCCAGAAAGCAAAATGACCAGTCAGGTCGTTACACCTACCATCATTTTTAGGTTCTGGGTATGTCCTTGGAGTAACATTTCGAACCATGATTCCAGCATGAGCTCCGGTGGTATTGGGGTAGTGGAGATGGTTAGCGGTGTTGTGGCTTGTGTTTGAGAAGGCGGATTATTGTTCTCCATTGGAAGATTAGAGTGAAGGCGACTGTTGGTGTGTCTTGAGTAAAGACAGTGGAGGGAGAAACATTGTTATAATCCATCTCCTCTTTGGGTTTCGTGTGAGGTGATTTGCCTTCTGCAGTTAATCTTGACGGGATAACAAGGAGTATCACCTCATTGATGGTATTGGGCATTGGATTTGTAATAGACACTTGATTACCTCCACTGGAAGAAGCAAGATCGGGGAAGAGTTGAGGGTGGATTGTGTGTGGTGCAGGCGCATGCACGGTAAAGTGGCCTTTTGTGAACGTATGGGCCATTTTGGGGTGGGATTGTACTGACAAATGATCCCTTTTCAAAAAAGAGATACTATTCTTATGTGTAAGAGTACCCGATTCGAAGGGAGCATAGTCAAAAGGGGGGATGGAATCCTTAATCCCATTTTTGTCGGTTGTATTGGAATTTTTGGAGATGGAGATATTCCCTAACGTGGCATCTTTTGGGATTGTGCCTGACTTAGGCAGATGCCGTTTCAGCCTACTAAGCTTGGCTTGCGAGGCTGCAATTGTTTTAACTTGGCCCACTTATAAAGCTGGGCCTTATATGCCTCAAGTCTTTTTGGTTCTCTGTAGCCCGTCCCATAGAGCCCAAGTGTTCACCTAGGTCGAGTTTCTCGTGTGCCTTAGGGCTACCGCAGCTAGTGGTGGTGGCTACCAGGTCGAGGAACGTACCTGTGGCTTCACTGTACCATTTTACCTGGGTCATAGGTTGCTCCGGTGTTGCTCTGGCCGGCCGTTATAAGCGATTTCTCTTGTGGATTCCTTTCTTATTCCGCATGAATGGGACCGTCTATCACAGAGATTCTTCGCCTAGGACTGTACCATAGTTTGTTGAAGTAGGAGTTGGGTTAACTGGATTGTTGGTTTCTTTGGGCTTGGGGATGAATGAGCAGTAACGTAGCGTATGGCCAATTCTCCCACATCCCTTGTAGAGAATCCCTTCCCCCTCATATAGGATGGGTTGATTGTGAGTGCCGATGGTGACAGATGTGGTGACTAAAATGTCAAGTGGAACCTGTACACAGATCCTAGCATACCTTCCCTAAGGGTGGAGGAGGTACATGTATCTATTTTCAGAAGTTTGCCAACCCTGTTGCCCACTTGCTCTAGGATTGCCCAATTATAAAACTTTGTTGGGATCTGTGGGAGTTTGATCCAAATTATTATAAGAGCTAACTTGGACTCTGCTAGAACAAAGTTTGGTTCCCATTTTCATATAGATAGAAAATGTCCTGTCACAAACCAAGGTCCCTTAGTCAGGACTTTGTTCATGCTTGCTTCAAGGTTGAAATAACGATGAAGAAACCCCATCCCAAGTCGATTAGTGTTAGTGATTCGGGTTTCCAAAGTTGTGCAAGATTTGCTCGCAATAACTGGCGGGGGAACTTTTTCCCCAAATAGTTTCACTATTAGGGAGGTATAACCTGATCTTATCTCCTTTGAC